CTAATCATTTGAAATTTTTATGTGAGCTAGCCCTAGACCAAAAAGTCCTTTGGCCAAAATTTCATAATTTTTTGAATTTCCTGTGATTTATTAAAATTAATTGAAGTTTTGGGGACTTTAATAAAAATAAAATATTTTATTTATTGATGGCCTCTATGGATTTTGAATAGATATAAGCCCGGAAAACTCCAAAGTAGTCTCTATAGAAAAGACAATCTCCCTCAAACATATTAAGTGCTCTGTCATAACTCTCGATGGCTCGAAGCGGGACCAAATCATCAAAAAAACATGTGCCTTGGAGCATATCCATCTATATGGGTGGCATATTTGACCTCTCAGGCACTGATATCGACTCAAAGAGATGGGATAGGTACTTTGGAGCCATCTAAGCTAGAGAAAGAAAAAAACAAAGAAGCTGAGAGAAAGAGGCCAGAGAAGGATCAAAGGGTGTAGCGCAAAACTCCAACCTCTCACCCTTATACATTAAGGGGCCTATGGAAGCAAAGTCATTCTGTAAGTCATACCTCACATCAACATCAACATAGTTTTTTGAAAGAAATAATTATAAGTTTATATTTAATTTTAAAAAATAATTAAAAAACTCAAAATTTTATTTCAGGAAATACTCTACAAGAAACTCATTGGCCGCTTCGGGCAAGAAAAGCTTATGCCGACAACTTTTTGTGCAACACTTTGCCACCAGACTTAAACATGTCAAAGTGGTCACCCTCGATCTAAACCCGAAGCATCATGCATATCTCCCAGATGTCCAAAAGCTCCAACTGAAGAACAACCATCTTATCTCACAACACCTTCAAGTCTTCCTTCCTTTACATCGTTGTGATATGGGCATAAGAGTCATCCATTGTCTCCAGTCGACGGGTTAGCGACCTAATGGACATACTATGCCCATTAGCCACTTCTCTATGGGTTTTAAGGGGGATGGTCGAGTGGTTGACCACATTCGCCTCACACCAAGTTGATGCCTGAGTCATATGAACTGGACCCAAAGTCTGGCCCTGGCGATTGTCCTCTTACGGCTAGTCAATGATCTGGATCACCTTTTCTACAAAAAAAAATGTTAGAAAATATGAAGAAAATTTTCTTAAATATGAATATCGGGCTTCCCCAAACCAGGGATTCGATCAATCTTTGTCGATTGAAGAGATAAATTATTCTCACCATGCAGCGGTAGAGCGGTCATAGTCCTCGGTCCCTCATTTAGCCATGGTGCATCTTTAGCTTCTTGTCACGAAATAAAGGGACCCAATGACTTCCTGCACAAGAGGATTAATCGACCAGTCATGAGCCAATATAGGGGGTTTGATCAATGTACTTGCAGCCTATCCGACTGGCCAACTCCTTTCATCAACCTAGTCCTTCTCCCTTCAAAGACTCTGAAGTGAGTTAGATGATCCCCTTGGTCCAACAAGTCGACTGCCTTGCGTGAAGCTAGCTTCTTCTTCTAAACGTCGACATATGACCCTTCTTTTCTTCAGACGCCTGCTTCCCCTTATACTTCTTTTATCCATTTAGTTTTTTCTTTGCCTCAGAGCAGGGCGGAGATGTAGACTCCCTGAAGGCCCTCCTCATCATATCAACACTTAGAGCACCGTCTAAAGGCTTTTGAGAACTAGACTTGAAGGAATCCTTATAGCTGACAAAAAGAGCGTGCGGATGTAGAAGCAAGAGTAATAACAAAGCTGCCAATCATGCCCTATTTATAAAGGCCATGGGCACATAAATCTATAGAGTGAAATTATTAAAAGCTATAATTTTGAAATAAATGAATCTACTGTTGTACTTGATTCATTTATTCTTATAGCAAGTGTAATTTTCAAGAAGAGAATTTGAGAAGTAAAATTTGTAAGCATATGCATGAATATTGAGGAAATCCAACAAACAAAAATGTACAAATGAGAGCAACTAAGGAGACCAGATGACCAAAGGGTTCAGAGACTGAAGTCTAAGGTTCCATTGGTGGAAGACTATGAGTCCAACATCATAAAGCTAATCATTCACTAGCGGAGTACCGAAAGACCCGTTTGACCAGGTGCAACACCCTAAGCCAAGGTTCAAGGCCGACCGAACGAAGGCTATCCGAGCTAAGGACTGAAACCTATCATTCTGAGCAGATGCATTGATCTCCTATCCTCATGACCAGATTAACGGAATAATACAACATCACAAGTTATCTCGAAGACGCCCTTGAAATTCCACATTCAAGGCCAAGAACTTGCCATCATATAACTATATCAAGCATTCCCAAAGGATCACCTCGTCCAGGTTCAGATAACGTTGATTCATCCTATACCCAATAACCTAGCATTGTTTTGTCGACAAAAGTTCCTTATATAGGGGGAAGTGATCAATAGTTAGTGGCTCGACTAGCATAGGTGACCGACACAATCAAGTCGATCGAGTTAAGTTTCACCAACCCTGAAAGCCATTGAGGGCTAACCGACAACCTATTCGACAGAGTCAGAGGAACGGGTCTTGCTAAACTATGACTGATTAATCTCAGCCGACCGAGTTATAAGGTGACCGAACTGAAAGCCTACATTCGTAAAATACCTAAAATATCGTGTAACGCCTTCATTAAAGCAATGGTAAATATATTATTTCATATATTGTACTCATTTTCCATAAATAGGGGAATCATTTCCTCATAAAAACTAACCAATAATTCGATAAATTGTACATTGCTACGCACTTCCCCTTCTGTCTCTCTCTCTCTCTCTTGTCTTATGCTCTATTTTTTGGGTGTGTTCACAAATAAATTCAGATTCAACATATCATATATATAATATCACCAACTTAAAGCAAGATATTTGAGGAAGACATAACATGCCTCGAAATATTGTCTCAATTTCGTCATACACTAATGACGATTATAAGAGATGAGGAAGACATTGGGAAGAAGGACAAGTACGCTCCATTTGTATTCTACTTTTTAAAAATAATGAAGGATTTACATGCATACCAATCAATTCTTTCATATTGCATATGTCATGTTATTCATTCATGCAAATATATCACATTTTAAAAGTTAAAATAAAGATATTTTTGACGTGATATGAGATATTTGGGTGATATAAATGTTAAAATAAAGTTTAGGTGTTAGAAATGTAAATGCATAGGAATTAGGTGGTATGCATGCAAATGCTCCTAAGATAATTGGTGGAATTCCCTTATCCGAATTCCAATATATTTCTCCAAGCGTGTATATTTATGTCCATATAGTTAAAAGGATTAATGGTCAAATTGATATTATTATTTGGGATATTATATAGGAAGATTCGCATGTCACAGATATGTAAATACAGATGAATTGGGTGGTATGTGTGTAAATACCACTATTATAAATGTAAATTAGAAGAATTATGCATTCGGCATGTAGATGAATACAAAACAAGTGTTATGTCCGTAATTTTTATATTAATAATCTGCTCTTATTATAATATGTTTTTTTTCTTAATTTCCGGTTGATTCGTGCCAACAACATGACAAAAGTTCAGAAGTCAGAACAACGTTTAGTTTTTTAAATAAATATGACATAGAGTAAACTGCCAAAACATCCCAATCTATTTATATAAAACTATTTTCATCTCAGAATTTATATAATATCCAAATAATTCTCAAATATTTTAAATTAAGGCCGAAATAGTTTTAATTTGGGACTGAAATAGACTCTATGACGAATTATTAAAGCTAAATTTTAAAATATTTGAGAACTATTTTCATATCTATATAAACTCTTATGACTAGTTTGAGAATGCGTCAGTCATTGGTTCCCTTGTAGGGAACAATGATAAATTTTTTTTCCGATCATTTGGTACATTCCCGTTTCCCCACATTGCGTTGACCGCAAAGATGTTTCTTCGTCATTACAGAACATAAGAGAGCAATTAGTTCCTTGGAGGGCACCATGGAAATGAAACTCCGCTCATGTTCTAAAATTAAGTACATATATGTAGAAAAAACACATTGGGTCCTCAATCTTGCAATCTAGAATTCAATGTCCTCGGCTTTAGTTTTAAGAAAGTATTTCACCAGCCCCTCATTGGTTTTTGGTGGCATCTGCGTCTGAAAGTAAAGTGTCAATATCAGAGACAATTGCTCACATAAATATAACTGAAACGAAGAGAGGGGGAAGGGTTGACGTCCTGAGGGCGCGAAGCCGCTCATTCTCCTCGCGCACTTGGTGGCTGAACATTCTATGGCCTTGGCGTCGTTCTTCAGTCGCCATCGGAACTCACCCTTAGGCAAGCCGAAGAGACCCTCTAAATTCTGTATGAGATGTATGGAAATATATGAAGAAAAAGTCACAAATAAAAAGAATCAATGGTAGAGAGAAAGGAAAGACAAACACCCATCCGATGTAAGAAATTCTTATCTTGAATGATGATTTTATCGACAAGATTCTAAAGCAGGCAGGGGCAAATGAGTCGGCGAAGGCACCGCCGAGCAAGGCCATGTGAAGCTCAGGCCCTGCCGCCCAACATTACCCTTAGATAGAATTATTACTTTGAGAACGGCTTGCAACCATGGACGTCGAACAAACTACAACATATAAGCTGTGCTATCCATGAAAGATATGCCCGAAGTGGTGATGATAACATAGACACACAGAATGACAGCCAATGTATTTTCCTATGTTTTATTTTATTTTATTTTTAAATTTGATAAATAATAGTATTAAAAAGTTAATAGTTCGTTTTGAACTCAAACAGCCATTACAATTTATAAAATAAACTTGTCCACTTTTACATTTAAAATGGCTTTTTCAAAGATGCATAAACGAACAAGGACTACTCTTATGGCTTAACAAGTCACGCTGTGGCCAACCCGACAAATCCCGATTTTCCACTCTTGCCCCTATCCGTAGGCTAAGCGCGTTTGGCAACACGAGTGGGACCCACACCAGCCACACGTGAGACGCATCAGTTTCCACGACCGGCTTGTCCTGCAACGAAAAGGTCTTGTGTTTATCTATGTGCTCCCCCATCAGCTCGATTGGGCGGCTCAGAACTCAGAAGCTTTAGAGCCCGTTTGCTGCCGCTTTTGATCCCGATCAGAGAGTGCTGCAGAATTCTTCTTTCTCTTTTTCGGGGAATTTTGTGTCGGACTGAGTGGTGTTTACAGATGAATTTGTAGTTTTTTTATAGTTGCTGTTTTTTTGCTTGGTGAAATCTGTTGCTGAGCGGAGCTTAGAAGGGGTGATTTGGAGGATTTAGGTTTCAGATTTTATCTGGGACGGAGCGGAAGCGATGAACAGTAGCGTGGAGACGGTGAATGCCGCGGCTGCTGCTATGGCCTCAGCGGAGAGCCGAGTGCAACCGGCCACGGTTTCGGTATGTTGCAGCTATTCATTTTCTCCTTACGAATTTGATTTTGGTTTTTTTTTTCCTCTTTATCCAAGTGAGATCCGTAGGGTTTCCTTTTGATGTTTCCGCGGCTGTTTAACCTTTTTTGGATTTATTGATGTTTTGATGGTTTGTTCTGGAGAGTATTATAGCTTTGAAGTTCAATTTGCTCTATTGGACTAATTATTCGTCCTTGTGATTGGATTGAGTGGGGATCATTAGCCTACATGTATGCTTGAGGTATCTATGTTTGTTGTATATTTTTATCCCTCAAAAGGCCGCATCAGATATTTCATCTCATAAATCGCGGTTGTGGAGTTTTTGAATCCTGAAGAGGTCAGAATATCGTTTGTCTATTGACCAGCGCTTGATTGAAGTCCTATAAAGCCGTTTGGTTTACGAGGCTCCGTTGACCAACGCTTAACTGAATTAGATAGGAACTCTGAGAATCGGGATGAGTTCGTTGAAAGCTAAAGGGCATATTCAGTGCATGGTACATGAGAAATCTTGTTTATGTTTGGAGCATGGAAAAATGTTGGCCTAATTGTTACTGTATTTTTTGTTGGCTTAATCAGTGATCATAAATTGTTAAGTATAGTTGCTTCTCTTTGCCTTAAATATTTGAGAGATAGGAGTTTTTTTTAATACTTGAAGTAGTTTTTAGTTTGGGGTAGATGATCTTTTTGCTTCCTTTATTCTGGATTATATGATGTAAAATGTTGTGATAATACATATGGATTTTTCAACTGAAGCCTGTGGTTGAATCTAGAGGTTGGTATCGGGAACACTTGTATAGGATATTTAAGGGGTGTAACCAAGTCAAGTTGATGCGAGCTGGCTTAGCTCCAACCCAAAAAAGAGCTGGTGAGCTGAGCTCTATGAGTTAACTACGCATGCTTGAGTAAGCCCTAATTCAACTCGCTAGAAAATAAGCTACACTTAAAATATATTAGAATTCAAGAGTTTAAGTACACAATTATTAAAATTTTCAAAAAAATTATCTCATTTTCCATAATAAATGAGCCGGTTAATGAGTCGAATCGAACTTGTGCAAGAAAACTCAAGCTCAAGCTCAATTACATAACCAAGCTCTAGAAAATTTGAGGGTGGCTCAAACTTGACTCGACTCATTACACCCTTCATCTTTATATTATTCTATAATATTGTGAACCTTATTTCCATATTGCCATCATCACTAATGTATTCGACTGTCTTTGATTCTCTCAGAGTATCATGATAATTAAAACCATAAAATCAATTTTGGATGATTGGAGTTGATTTCACTCACTTTTTTTAAAATCACCGTAATTTAGAAAGAAAATAAAATAAAATTTTAAACTGTTGAATTGGCATAAGCAAATATTCACGTTTGCTGAACCCGCAAAGTATTAACTTTACTCGAAAATCAACATTCATAACGTGCCTTAAAAATTATCTAAACAACCAAACTGGATTGGATGGTTAAGAATGCAAAGCTTTGCCCTCCAATGGCAAATGTAATTGGAGAGGATACAAATTTAAGGTTGATATCTACAAAAGTTTGAGTGTGTTTTGTTCAACTCGCTCAAAATGGATTTATTTTTTAGCCGAGCTGGTTTGACTTTAAATTGCTTGATTTCGGGCTCACTCAAAATTGATATTGAGTTGACTCAAGAAAAATGTAAAAAAAATACAAGGTTTGGAGGGAGACTTGAATCTACAACCTTATTTTTGCATAAGCTACGGAACACCAATTGAATTGAATAACAATTAATTTATATTGGCAATATATAAACTATTTTTTATTAGAAATGAATTGAATTGAATCTCAATCGAGCCGCTTGACTTTTTGAAGTTGATTTTGAGCTGCCTGCTATGGCTTGAAACACAATGTAAAATTGTTCTCAAGTCAATTTTGATATCACTTAAAATCCAAGTGAGTTCCAAGCATGTATTTTTATAGCCCATGATTGAATCCAATCTATTATTCTTGGGTACCTCTAAAAGTTGCTCTAAGTTTATTATTTACCTTATGATATTTCTTTGAATTATTTGTGTTTGGCAATTTTATTATTTTGTCCTTGCTTCTCAGGTCTAAGAGGGTTATTTGGTTCTCTCCTTTAAGTTTGAATTGAACTATAGTTCAACCCAATCTTTATTTTTAACTTGAAGCAAACATTTCTGGAATGTCATTTCACCGAATCTTCTGTTATTAATGTCTGCCTAAGTAATAAGAGGCTAGCTTGTGAAACTACTCTGTGGTAAGGAATGTAAAAAAAATAGGAGAATACTGTTTTCTTAAAGAACCTTTAGTGAGAAATTATTTTTATTAGAAATTGGTGTTGAATATTGTCAGCGAAAATTTATTTTTCATGTGGCAGTGCCTACTAGGCACAAAAGCATATAATAAAATAGCAACTAGACCAAACATAATATTAATAAAAAATAATAAATAAATAAAAGCGTTATGTTTTTTTTTTGTTTGAAAATAAAAAAGCCTATGCGTAGTAGGAGATAAAAGATCCAATACATTTTCAAGTAGTCACATTGTTGTACACATAAAAGGGGCACAAGAAAATACAATTTTTCCAAACCCAAAAATGAAATTTTATCAAAAAACGAAATATATAAAAGATATGATCCAATCCAATGCTAAAAAGTCACATAACCATATAGATAAAAAGGGTACAAGAAAATTCTGTTTTGTAAATCCAAATAGACCCAATATCAATTTAAAAAATAGAAGACATAAAGCTCTGAAGCCAAGCAAATAGGAAAACATGATGATATTTTCTAATATAAAAGAAATACATAAGATAAATAATAAAGTCGGAAATTCAAATAATATTAAAACATCTCCATGGGAATGCTTTTTAAAGAGGCTTTTTCTCTGTTTTAATACCTTTTATAATCAAATTTATTTGCATAATTGACTTACAACTCTTGCATCTTCTATTATAAAGGTTTAAAAAGGTTGAAATTCAAAATAAAATAGGTTCAAAGTTTGAGTTGGAGCTAATACAAAATAAAAAATTTTAAGCAAACATTTCAACTTAAGAAGATAATTCCAATTAATTTGTTTGTATCCATAAACTCACTTGTTTTGTATTTTGTGTTTATTTTATCAAAATAACTATGACAACATTCTAATTAGTCTTCTCCTTAATTCACTATTGTGACAATATATCTTGGATTTCTTGTGTGTTTTCTTTCTAAACTCAGCTCCTCAATCTCTTATTGTCTTGAAGGGTTGAGCTTTTGCAACCACTTATAGCTCAAGTGATCTTCAACTTAGCATGTGAGAAACCTTTGAAGCATGATTACACACCGAGATTGATTCACATATATTGAAACTACATTTGCCATTGAATTTAATTTATACCCATGAAGTGGATGTCTCATTGTAAATGTTGGAATTATATGAGGTAAGACTAGGATTAACTATGTAAAGAATCAATGTACCTGATCTTTTTGCGATAATCTTTGACCTTATATGCAGCCTTCTTAATTAGTCAAATATTTTTGCTTTCCAAAATCATTGTACTCGAACATAAATGATGTTTCATGCACCTTTGCAAGCTTTATGAATATTACCATCTCTTGAACACCCGCATATCATCCAGTGAAAGCACTAAAAGATATAAAATTATATTGTATATGGTTATACCTAATGCTTATAACTATTTTAGTGATATCATTATGTATTCAACTGCATTATGCTAATATTGATCGTATTGAACGCCTCATTACTCCCAATATAATCATTACAATCACTTTAAAGTTGTGTAATCTAATTTTCGACTTAAGAAAATACGCTAGATTTGTGATCGTTGTGGGGATTGGAAGGGGGGTTGGCAGCCCTGCTCTCGGTGGTTCAGGGTATTCAATATTTGCAGATTTTTTCATTAATAATGGATTTCACTATTTTTGTCTGTGTTAGATTTTTTCTTATAAAGATGAGTGATGTTCTTATATTGAATTAGGGGAATTATGGTTGTAATTCTTTATGATTGAGCCATAGTGAAATCCTTTTTAGGGTCAGGTGAGTCTTTATAAAAGTGCTTGTATTTTGTACATTGATCCTTTTCCATTTTCTATTCTTTTTTTGTTTTCTATGTTTGAATTAGGTCCACTTTTTTTTTATAAAAATTATTAGATGGCTCTTAAGTTGAAAATAATTTATTATGAAGGTATATATGATACAAATAAATTGAATCTAGAATTCTTTGATTGTTGCATATTATTCTATTAACTAACAGATTGTCATAATTTAGATATGTACTTGAGCTTGCAAAAATATTTTCATTTGCTAACTTGTCTTCAAGTTTATTATCGACATTTTGATCCTTCCTCTTTAAAGAGTAACAATTTTCACTTGTCATTTATTTTGCAACATAAGCATGTTCAATTGTGATGAGACTTCTACAACAAGGGCCAAATTTTTGTCAAAAGTTCTTCCTCTAACCAACTATCTCTTATCCACTTTTTATCTCATGCACTCTTGAGCCCGACAACCACATATTTAGGTAGAAATTGATCTTAAGTACTTCTAAAATAACTTTATTTATATATAACATAAGTCATTAAAATGCTTATAAAAGAGTGGTATTTAGCATTAGTGTAACAAAGCATGTTCATCATCATCAATCATCGTACCATTATCTTCAAATTTATTAATAATGAAATTAATCTCATTAGAATATAACTTAACGGGCATACTTTACTTTTTGCATATGTAAAAGGTACAATTTATTATTCTATTAACATTTGTTGGAGTGGTTTTAAATAATCATGTATAATACTTCAACTTGTACCATAGCCTCTACATGGTTCTTCCTTGCAAAACCTCATTTACTAAAGATAAGCGGATCATTGAAAGAGTGTATTTA